ATTGATTTTGCTATCGATATTTTCGGAACTTATCGATATAATGATCGATATTTTTATCGATTTTGTAATCGATTCTGTTATTGATTTTATTATTGATTATTTATCGGTTTTGTTATCGATATTTTTCTTGATTGTTTTAACAATTTTGCTATCGATATTGTTATCGCTTTTGTTATCGATATTTTTGTCGCTTTTGTCATCAATATTTTTATCGATTTTTCTATAGATATTGTTATCGCTTTTGTTGTCGGTATTTTTATCGGTTTTTTTACCGATTTTGCTATCGATATTGCCATCGCTTTTGTTATCGATAGTTTTATCGATTTTTTTATCGAATTTATTACCGATTTTGTAATGGATTTTTTGATAGATTTTGTTATCAATTTTGTTATTGACTTTGGAATCGATTTTGTTATCGATTTTGTAATCGATTTTTCGATAGATTTTGTAATCGATTTTTTATCGATTTTGTAATCGATTTAGTTAACGATTTTGTTATCGATATTTTTATCGATTTTGTTATCGATTTTATTATCGCTTTTGTTATCGATATTTTTTTCTTAGTTTGTGCTTTCGTTTTTGACTTGGATATGCTCTTAACCATACCACGTATTCTACGTTTAAATTTAGCGGGTGTATCTCCGATACAGCCTGCAGACCAAGACGAAGGCGCTGGACTGTTCCTTTTTAAGTTCGTTATTTGGATTAAGTTTTTTTTTAAGTAAGGATAACTCATGAAAACTTCTTTTGGTTACATATGTGTGTATGTACATATGTACAACAGCAAAAAAAAAATTGCCTCATCGTAATAAAGCATTACATACTTATAAAACCACTTTGCTCGTGTGCTGGAAGAGAGTCATAACTCAAAAACCAAAAACTCGAGAAAACGGCTTTACAGTTTTTGAAGAAAAATAATAATAACTGAAAAATAAAATTTATTATATATATAATCGGAAATTTTAAATCCGACTATGAAGCTTCGAATATACCCTAAGTTGGCTTGTTACTTTGATCAAAGTGTGAGTGTTTTCTAGCATTAATTTCTTAGCACAGTGAAACACAGATATACAGAAGTTGTGAAAACGACATACTCCCTTTTTTATTGGATACAATTAACAAATATGGTACCGAACTTGAAACTAACCGTAATTTCTGCATACTTATCTCCAAAAAGTTTTTAAAAGACATTTTTTTTTTACAAAAAAGGGATATGTACTTTCCCTCTGTCATTGGACATAAATACAAAACCCTTTTACGTAAAATTGAAAAATCCCCAGCCTAGTTGTACTACGGCGCATTGAACTTTTTCGCATAGAGTTAGTAGTACATTTTTATGTATGTATGTATGTATCACAATAGCACATAATAAATACATGTGCGTAATCATATGTACATATGTTTAACAACCACCACTGTTTTAATCTAAAGCAATTAAGAGCAATGTTAAAAAAAGGCTATAAATACGTGAATAAAGCTCAAAGTGAAAAGAACTCGTCGCCGTCTTGATTTGATATTTACACTAGGCGACAAATTAAATGTACACCTGGTTCTAATATAATGCTCACACTTAATTTTTTGAACCCTTTTTTTCATCAATTACTTATGAAAATATAGATTATTCTATAATATAAACCGTATCAATCTAAGTTTTACACTTTATACAAAAGTTCACAATTTCATCAAAATTTTCAACTTTTTCTTTATAATTTCAAAAAAAAAATAAATCGAGTATGCAACAAAGTGAAATAAGTGCAAGTTGCAAGTAGTAAAATTACCATTGATTTTTTACGAATTTCTTTGTCGCATTTGCTTCCATATAACAAATAAACACAACTTATTTTGGTATGGAAGGAAGCCGCAAAATTTCAAAAAAAATTTCATGAAAATTATTGTGAAGATTATATTAGAACACAGTGTACACTTTAACTTGGCGCCTAGTGTAGGTACAAGCATACATACGAACATCCATACATATGTACTTACTTAAGTTAAAGTGCAAAAAAGTAGTGAGTATCAAAACATTTTAGTAACATATCTGTTCCTTAATATAGGAGGCGCTCTAATCTTTCTGCTTCTTTACATATTTATCAATTAAAATGCTTTATTAAAATTAAATCTATTTAGTTTAGAATTCCTACAAAGGATTAATTAACAAGGATTAAGGATTCTAACTAATTTAATGTTGTAGTAGTTGCTTTTAGATTTCATTCAGTTTTTGATGACTAATTTACCAACTTTTGTTAAAAGCAGGATTTAAAAAAAAAAAAATAACCAAACGCCTTTCAATGTCGATGTGAAGATATACAAGTATGTATGCAAAAATATTCCTCAATTTTTCTAAAAAAGAAAATAAATATTACGATTACTGTTACATATTATGTACGTAAATATTTTAGTTATTATTTAATTACTTTAAAAATAAAGGTTTCTTTTTTTTTGAAATATGTCATTCATCCAACAAGTTTGCGACATATTCAATGTACGAATAATAAAGGGTTGATAAATGTAAAATTCCGCCAAACCCTTGCTCGCTTTCTTTGTTGTTATATGTATGTGAATAGAAATGAAGTCAAAACAAAATATTGGATTACGAATGTGTAGTCGTAAAGTGTCCATCAACTCAATATTTTAAGAAAAACGTGTTCAAAATATCAAAAAATCTGGGTTTCGGCAACATTTGAGAAGCTCTAGTAGAAAAAAAGGGCGAAAAAACCTTCCACGTAGGCTTAAGTTAAAACCTAAACTGTGGATTACAAACCCTGAAATTATCATCCCTGTACCTTGGCTGAAGAATAATAATTTATTGAACAGCAATAACTGATTCTGGCCAAGTTTGAGTACCTGAGCAATAAAACACAAATTGACAGAATTTTCTTCTTAGAATTTAATTTAAGCTTAAACTTTCAACAATTAATTCTTAAAATCTCATTTCTGCACAATTCTTTAATAGTCCTTGATAGTAATTCTGGTAACCGCAAATATGAAGTATCACATTTGACTGCAGGTAATCTTCAGTGGAAGGTGCAGGAATGGTATTTTCAGGGTTTGTAGTCTAAATTTAATTCACGCCTACGCCTTTTGTTTCTGTAAACCTAGTAGTCAAAGACGTGATTTTTTGACATTTTGGCCACGTTTTTTTCGAATGGAAATTTTATATCTACAGATTCGTAACCAGCACGAAAAATTCTATCAAAAATAGCTTTAACATGAGTCGCACCAAATTTTTTTTTTCCAATTTTGTTGGCCTGTGTTAT